CGCGAGCGGAGGCCGCATCTGTTTCTGATTATTAATTAATATCAACCAACCCCGGGGGGAGGGCAGGCGGAGGCCGCGTTCGCAAATGAGCGAGCCCGCTGCTCGCTCGCGTACGCAGCCCCGCACACATATTCAAATACATACGGTCGCACATAGCACACAGAAATACACACAGCCACACACGCGTAAGCGCGTGTCGCTCGCAGGGATAAAGAGAGCATACGCGCGGCTAGAAAGCGCGCGCGAGAGAGGGTGCGGTGTATATTCATATGTTGCGCAGAAATGAACAGAACGGGCTCGGCGGGCATTAAAATTAATGAAACGGGCGGAACACGCGCGTTTTAACGAAAATGTATGTGGGCGATCAGGCGGAAGCGCTCACTCTCTCTCTCTTACTCTCGCCGTTTCTCTCTCGGAAACTGGGTGTCGGGGAACGCGCAAACGCCCCTGGGTTGGCGAATATCCACTACGTTATGTCTTTTCCCTACGCAATTCGCCACCCCCGTTTTTTTGCCGTTGTTCCGTACACGTGGATGTACGCGGGCAGTAGATATTCGACTGTCAAAGTCGTCCACCGAAACATCTTTCAGTCGAAAGTCGTTTCGAAATTAGATAGAAATTTATAACCAAGGATTTTATGGAAAAATATTTATATTTAAGAAAATGTGCAAAAACATTGGTTTTTGTGTCAGATTATACTATATCAAAAATTTTACTTACACTATTCTACTTATATAAGCAGAGATTTTGCTATTCATTTATACCTTCGACATGAGATTCACCAAAGCTTTTATGTGGATTACAATATACAATTGTCATGTTTGTGTAAAATCGTTCGGGTTTAAGATAAAAATATTTAAATTATATTTATACATTAATTAATTATTGATTAATATTTAATTTGAAGTCAAAACTATTGTATTTCGTACATGTCTCGATTCAAAAACATTTTGAAAAGAGATTCGAAACCGGCAAATTGATCTCAATTATCTCAATTAAGCATTGAGATAATTCAAAATTAAACTTATTTTTTGCATTACATTTTTTTTGCGAAATTTTCTTACATTTTTTTCGTGTCATTGTGATGAATCTGCGAGACTCTCGCAGCCGACAAAGACATTCGGGATGGACGTTTCTTAATTAAGAAACTTGACTTGACCGTGGATGGAATTGCGGAAGTATCGAAGCAGTGACAACTTGACGTTACCGCACGTCACCGCACGAATATAAATTTCTCCATTATCCGGTGATTAGTTTGTAAGAGGGTGCATAACGCTTTCTGGGTTGGCAAGCAACCCTTCTCAGCTGTTATTCTCGAAATGATAGAAGTTGTTAAATATAGCTTTTCTGAATAGAATCGTATATTTGGATCGTTTAGAAGCGATGTACAAAATATCTCATAATTAATGAGAAAAGTGTTAGAAACTAATTTTTTGACTAATTCGTAAACTTTCTCTTTGCATAAAAATATAAAGAAAAATTATTATTTGTAACGACTTTTCTACTTTTAACACTGTACTAAAATTAATTACTATAGTACTAATTACTTAACTGTAATAAAATTTGAATACAATTTTTAAGTTAACATTAACTTAAGGTTAACTAATAAACAATTATTTAATATGCAAAAAGTTACTTCTATAAATTATCTCAGAAAAATCTCAGAATCGATTTCTTTTCAAATTTTACAAAGTATCGATTTTGAAGATACAGAGTACTCAGGAAATTTTTCTTTGTTCTAAGATGAATCAATTAATTTATACATTTACCTGCGAACGTAATCTATTGTTAATCTAAATTTCTTTAAAAAGCGAATACTACAGTAGGCACTCATAATATTAAAGTATCAGTCAAGCATTGTTTATCATGTGAGCAGATCTTTCTGCTTTATCAAATAATGCTGTTCTTCAATATTATGTTACTGCTGCCATCTTTTTAAATCGATAGATATTAAGAAATCATTGGAACATAACCTCGTATTTGGCGTTGTTCTGTTTCGCACGTGTATCACATGATGAATGTACGATAGTAATTGTTAAAATAATTGTAATACAATAATCGTGATTTGTTTTCATAGATAGGTTTTCATAAATAATAACACAAAATGCAGCACGACGACGTGAGTAAAGTTCTAAAATTAAAATTGTTTATGTTAAATAGTTATCATGATTTTAATCTTGATGAGTTTACAGGTTGTGTGGAGTGTTATTAATAAATCATTTTGTTCTTTCAAAGTAAAGTAAGTACGTTTTTAAGCAATAATAAAATATGCAAAGAAATTACAATTTTAATATTATTGTCATAATAATATTGTTTTTTTTGCAGTACAAAAACTCAGAGATTTTGTAGAAATGAGTACAATCTTACAGGTTTATGCAGTAGAGCTGCATGTCCTCTCGCTAATAGTCAATATGCTACAATTAGAGAGGAAAATGGTATTATATATCTTTTTGTGAGAACAGCAGAAAGGTACATTTTATATGGCAAATCTTGTGTGTTCATATAATATTAGTGTCATTATTGATATTATTAGTGTCATTATATGTATTATTTATAATAAAAGTTACAAACTATTAATTATTATTATTTAAAATTTATGAACAGTTTTAATTTAATAAATTTTTTATAGAATACATACACCTAAAAGCAGTTGGGAAAAAGTCAAGTTGTCCAGGAACTTTGAAAAGGCAGTACATCAAATTAATGAAAATCTGCTTTACTGGCCTGGTTTCATAAAGGCAAAATGTAAGCAAAGATTTATTAAGATCACACAATATCTTATTCGCACGAGAAAACTCAAACTAAGACGGCAAAAGAAGATTGTGCCACTTCAGAGAAAGATTGAAAGAAGAGAAACACGCAGAGAAGAAAAGGCCCTGATTGCTGCTAGATTAGAAAGTACAATTGAAAAAAAACTTATGGAGAGATTGAAGGAAGGAATGGTAATGTTATGTTCATCGTAAATTTTACATTTTTATATCTGTTATAAATTTTAATTTGTCAAAAATTAACTAGTTTTCTTGATATTTTAGTACGAAGGTATTTACAATTTCCCACAACAAGTGTTTGAGAAGGCTGTGGAAGCTGTTCAAGTTGATGAGGAAAGTGAAGCAGAAAATGAACAGGAGGAAGAGCAAGAAATAGAGATTGAGAAGGAGGTGGAAATGGAATTAGAAGCGGATGAAAGAGAAATTGAGGAATATGGTCCAAAATATGTTGAAGCTGAAAGCGATGATGATGATTATGAAGATGACGATGACGATGATGATATTGAAGAGCTTTCTATGGTAAGCATTAGAATAATTTTTCAGTAAAATATTATCTTCTTACAAAAACTATTATATAGGATGAAGATAGTGACTCTGGACAGAAGGAAGAAGTTGAGTTATCGGATAACTTTGAATCTGAAGCTAGTGATATAGAGGTAAGAAATCTTTAGCTGAAAATATAGTTTTGTTATATTATATAAGTCTTGATATAAATTGTATCGTATGTCGGTTAGGATTTAATCAAACCATCCACGAGCAAGAAGACAAAAACAGCGAAAGTTGTTAAGAAAAGAAAGGTACAAAGAAAATCACGACCAAGAGTGGAAATCGAGTACGAAATAGAAGAAGAAAGCAGTCGGCAAAGAGAACGAGTGTAGCAAATTTTTATTATATAAATATTATATTTACCCTTCATAATAAAACCAGTTTCACAATCAATTCATAAATTCACATAAAATTCAATATATCTTTATTTAGTATTTTAGTAATAATTACCACTAATTTAATAGTATTTACGTCCTCAATATTTCAGCATGAATCCGTGTAATTTAAATTACATTAAAGACGAAAAGTCAACAATATACTACATTTTGTTTTCAACACTGCTCAAGACATATAATTGCGAAACTTGGATTGAATATTTTATACATAGATATTTATTATTTGACATTAATAAAATTGTGTTACATTTTCCAAAAATTGTTCTCATAACAATTGCAGGTAAATTTGCAAGAATATTTATACAGTATAAAATGGATATTAAGTTTCTTTTTTTACATGTTTTTATGAAATATAAATCAAATAAGAATATACATAATATAAGAAAAGCAATTAATTTTGGAATTATGATAAATAAAAATTGCAATTTTATTTTATATGAGATGTTTACTTACGAGGCACACGGATACATTTAAAAATTCCGCTTGTAAGCAAGCGTGCAGAAGCGCCGAGTGAGAGAAGCGCGAAAACTCTTACAGTGGAAATATCTCGTTGGAAGGGAAACGAAATGTCTGTATAGCAGACGATACGCTTAATCGCAACGAAAAAAGGTAAATCACGCGCTCATTTCTCACCGACTTATCTGAATGGAGACCTTTCTCGTTATTTGTTTGCCAATCATCCTTAACTTAACTCGCAAAGTCCAATTCATCGCTGCTACCATTCTTTAACGGGGCGTCAGTCTGCAGTGCATCGGCATTGCGCATTTCTAAGGACTGTCACGCACTTTGATATTTGCTGTCCGCCGTTCTCCAAATCAGCTCTTCGGCATATCGAATAGCGATACTCGAATACGCGAACGCTGAAGTCATTGTGAAATATTCGCGATAAAATCTTGGCTACAAACGGCTGCAACTTAGCCTTCCACTTGCTATTTATAGAGCTAGTAGGTTATATTTGTAAAATCAATCGCAAAACTGAAAATGACAAATAGTGTTAGATTAATACAATAAATAATGTAGAACATCTACAATTATATGTGGCATTAATGTGTAATATCTGTACATTATATATGTAATATATATAATTTAATTCCGTGGAAATATTTTCGATAAGATGTTCGAAAGCGAGACAAATTGGTTGTGTTTTGATCTAAAGCTGCACGGTTTGCTGCGATTTGCGATTTGCGCAGTATAAATCCCACGCTTTTATTGAGCAATTTACGCGATAAAGTGAAGGTGATGCGTAGCTATCAATGCACTCATTGCGTGGATTTGTCTCTATCAGGAAATTTCACAATGCTCGTATTGTCCCGCTCGCAATTAGATCCCACATACTTTTACAACGAGTGTCACTTCTTTCGAAGACAAGTTCCTTAATCTCATGTAATTTAACGAACAATTTAAAAGTGTCATCGAGTGAGCATCAATGAATGATAATCTGTGATTTTTTTCTATCTCAAGGATACTACAGCATGTAGTTTAATACCAAGAATCATCGAATGAGTTTAATGCTGGAGCCGGAGTGCAACATGAATCTATACCGCACAATAATCTGACTGGACTCTGCTTTGATATATATTGTTGATTTGCGCACAAATGCCAGGATGCTAGACAATGCTGCTAATATGGAACTGAATAATGTGGGAAGCAACAAAAGTTCCGTACATCTCGCATTATCGTTCAAAAAGTTGTGTCTGGCAACAGTTGGCTTACCACTTGTATCGCTGTTGTTCTGCTTCACTACAGCATATATATTTCAACAGGATGATATTCACGAAACTCACTGTAGGGTAAGCAAAACTTTGTTACGTATTGTTATGATAAGTAAATGATGAAATGTATATAATGAATATCTGTATAATGAAAATCGTTTATTCGTTTGTTAAAGGTCTATAATATTCTTCCATCGATCTCAGCCATCACTGGGGTATCTCCTCAGAGATATCTATGGCGTATTAGTATAGCATTACATATTGGCCCTAGATTGGTGATCGCCAACGTTTATCATTCATATTATCACAAAATACTTAAAAACATTGAAGATGTGCCTATAAAAATTACAGGGAGCAGGCTCCTAAACTTATGTTATTGGCTAAACATTGCTGAGATAGCAGCTTTGTGTGGTGTCACATACATTTCTCCTCAGAGATATCTATGGTATAGTATAGCATTACATATTGGCTAGATGTGATCAACGTTTATCATTCATATCACAAAATACTTAAAAACATTGAAGATGTGCCTATAAAAATTACAGGGAGCAGGCTCCTAAACTTATGTTATTGGCTAAACATTGCTGAGATAGCAGCTTTGTGTGGTGTCACATACATTTCTAACAGAGAAAATTATGGTAAGTAATATATAATTTTCTAAATCTGTTATTGATCTTCTAAAACTAAAATACTTTATATTTACATGTTGAATTTAATTTCATTAAATTATACAAAAATTTTTCAGCGGTGCACGAAAAAATTTTCATAGTGTTCATGATTAGTTCACTCACATATATGCTGACCGCCGTAAGATTAGGTCGCCTAATAACTCCAAATGCACAAAGTCTTCAGTACAAACAGGCGCTCTTTATGATGAGTCTTGTTAGTACAATTGGTCTTATTATATTCTTCTTGAAACATCGACTGCTGTGTCACGATTTAGGTAAGCAATAATATTACAAACATAATATTTATACACTTAATAAGTATAATAAAAGTAATATAATATTTGTCATAAATTTGAGCAGCATTTAGTTGGTTCTCGCTATGTGAATACCTGATAGCTTTTGCAAACATGGGCTTTCACATCATGGTGGTTTTGGACTTTCCAAAAGAACAACTGGTCGTAGGTCACGATTTACCTGCCGCAAAAATAGATTAACCTTTTAGGATAATTCGTCATTCTCATCGTTATATTAAAGTGCCTATTGCCTCTATGTGGAAGCGCTGTAAATCATGGTTTTTAAAAGGTAAAAGTTTGGTGGAACGCTGTAAATCATGGTTTTTAAAAGGTAAAAGTTTGGTGCAATACATAATACTCTGTTTTACTATCGTCTTAGTTTTGTGATATTTATAAGATTGTGTTCTATTGTTGAGATTAATATAATTTGCTTCCTGTGTATGTAAAAGAGTAACTCAGTTTATTTTTTTATTTTTTATTTTTAAATTCTCTTGTGATATATAATAAGTACGTCTGAGTACGTCTGAGTGTACAGGGATATGATTTGAGAAAAATGAAATGGAAAATCTAGCGCTTCCAAAGTACGGCACTGGTTACTTTCGAAGCGATGAACTATATATAACGGCCTTTTAATATCGTGCGATTAGCGATACTGAGTATGTAGTAAACGATAGTTAAAAATAAGTATCCTACATACAAACAGCATTTAATGTTATTATAAATCGGATGTTATTACCGCGTTATATGAGATTACTTGTAAAGACTTTTAAGCCTTTTTTATAGAGACTTTTGCAAAGTGAGAATTCTAGTCGAACTTGTTAATTCTAGTCGCAATATCTTTAATCCGCTTTACAATATTCTTATGTTATAAATTGAAGTTAGATTGTAGGATGCATACATATGTCAAATGAATTTTGGGATATAATCGTACATTCATCAAATGTGAAACACTTGTAACTTTAAATTATTGCAAAAACATTGTACAGTTATGTCTTGTTGGCAAACATGAAAATAGAAACCGTTCGTAGGTTATTCATGCATCTTATACAAGATTGGTTTATCTTATATAGCTTCTAAGATAATAAAATCATTAATATTTATGTACCAGTTAATATTTCGAGCCGTTCGGTTCGGTATTATTCTATCGTAAGCGTGAAATCGCTCCTATGTTTGTATGTAGTATATGATAAAACCGTTTACACATAAGCTATTTGTGCTTCAGACGAGAAACAAACGAGAATTTCACTTATAAAATTCGATAAAAACCTTTTTTAACATTTTTCTTACAAACTCACGTGAGATATTTAGATATTGATTTTATCTTGAATGGACTGATCTGAATGCACTATGTCTTTACATATCTTTGCGTATATTTATTTAGCGAATACTATATACTTCAAATGTCAGTATTTCGATAATTGCTATATGTATTACAAATTAGGTATTAGTTATATAGTATTCGCCATTACACCACGCAAAATATGTAAAGGCATAGTGCATTCAGCATATTCAAGGTAAAATTAGTACATAAATATCTTATGTGAGTTTGTAAGAAAAATGTTTAAAAAAATTTTTATCAAATTTTGTGGCTGAAATTCTTTTTTTATCTTTCGTTTGAAGCACAAATAGCTTATATGTACACGGTTTTCAAAAAGCTTTAATAGTAGAGCTAAGTAGTAACAATATTTTCAATTCGGAATGTTTTTGAATTAATGCTATAAGATGCTTTATAATTTTATAGCTTTTATCGGTGATTATTCTGAGAATAATATAATGATGAATAATGGATGTTAGAATTGATTTTTAACAATGTTAGTCATTTTTGGTAAAATGTTTGACAAAATTTTACAAAGCATATATATAATTTTTACTCGAAATGTTATTAAAAATTGTGCAATAAAATTTTTGCGAAGTGAGTTCCGGAAATCCGGTGCATGCTTTTAAGAAAGTTTCATATATGTGGGAATAGGCTCGCAAAATTCACATGGAAGGATAGCAGTTTGTTCAGGGACTTTATAAAATTCTTCTTACAGAATATTCCTTGATATTACACCAATAAATAATGTTTATTACATGTGTGTTTGTAATAAGCAGATGGTATGTTATCGCTATATTTTTTAGGATTTTGTTGTAGATGCCGATAGTCTCTGTGTGATTCTCTAAATGATAAAAAAAATTAATATATATATATATA